GTAGAAATTATGTGTATAAATAATTTTGTATAATATTTGTGAAGTATGGTGGTGGTCGTCCAAGCTTTTTGTTTTTGTTTAATAATATTAAATTTGGCAAAAAAAAAAGAAATTGATTTGGTCATATAACTTGGCCTTTGTGACAAAAAAAAAAAAGCCTTGGAGGAAAAGACAAACAACATTTCTCTTTCACTTCACGTCTGCGAGTGTCATCATCGAGTTCCGGATCTCATCGGAGAGTTTCACCGTTCTCGGCATCATTCCTCCAACCTCGGACTTAGGAATCGATTTGAGAGAAAAGATTGTCTCCAAAGGTTGCTTAGATTTACAAATTCTCGCCGGATCATTCATGGCTGTGGTGGATGTTCACCGATTCGCTGAGTCAATCACTTGCCATGCTTGGAGTCCTGATCACTCCAGTAACCTGCTAACTCTCTGATTTCCAGATTTCTCTTCCTTCGCTTTTGTTTCGTTTAGGATGATGATAAAAGGAGTAATGGCTGATTACAGAACATGGAATACCAATTATATGTGGATCTGTGATTTGGCTGGTACGAAGATTGATTAGGGAACTGAATTGACTTGTGTCCCTTATTCGAATATATGTCTTGGGAATTTGACCCTTGTGTTTGTTTGTCGGTGTCGCTTGCTTGCTTAGAGAAGGAATCACGAGATTTATGCTTCATTATAGGAAATAACGAGAGATGCCTTCTTAAGAGTTTAGGTTCAACTTAGCAAGAGAGCAGTTGAAGATTCCACAGAGATGCTTTTGTAAAACATTTGACCAATTTATGTGCTTTGATGTTTGTTTCTGTGTTTCTTCTAGTGGTTGCACTCTGTCCTAACAATAATGAAGTTCATATCTATAAATCATCTCAAGACCAATGGGAGAGGTTACATGTCCTCCAAAAGGTGAATCTTTCTTTCTCTATCTGAAACTAATCACCATGCACTCCTTCTTCTCTTTCTCTTCTTGGGAATTTTCATTTAATAGACAGTTTGAATCTCCCTTGCATCAAACTTTATGATTGGTGTTTGAATTTGTTGCAGCATGACCAAATTGTTTCTGGAATAGATTGGAGCTCAAAGTCCAACAAACTCGTCACTGTTTCCCATGACAGGAACTCGTAAGTTGCAACATTTGATATACTTAAAAGGAAATTTTTGTGCATCTCACTTCGATTAATGTTATGCAAAAACCATTTATTCTTAGTTCTTCACTGTTTTTATATTTCGATAAACTGAGTTTCGAATGCTTCTTGAAGATACGTGTGGAGCTTCGAAGGAGGTGAATGGGTGCCAACTCTTGTTATTCTTAGACTAAATCGTGCTGCACTTTGTGTCCAATGGAGCCCAAAAGGTAAATGTAACAGATCCAAAATTACGAGTTATGTTATGTAGCTTCATTGTGTAGGTAATACGTAATGTACTTTTCCTGTAGTTTCTGCAGCTTCTAATTTATGTTCCTATTTTTTTCAATACCCTCAGAGAACAAGTTTGCTGTTGGAAGTGGTGCTAAAACTGTTTGTATTTGCTATTACGAGCAAGAGAATAACTGGTAATTTTCTTCTGCTCTTATGTTCTCATTATTAGTCAGAGATTTCTCTTTGACATGTTGCTGGACGTCTTTACTACAAATGGTGTTGATGGTCTATTAAATGATGTTATGTTGTGATATCTACTTTCTTTATGGTGGATGTTGTATTATGTATTGGCATGATATTAACTCCAATTATTTTAATTATCTTGGCATGCATAATTGTGTATTGTGGAGAGGTTTTGGACATGTCTGGAATATGTGCAATTCTCGCAAAGCATACTATGAGTTTCATTTATAGTTTTGGTATTTTGGTTGGCTGACATTGCTTGGCTTTACTGTTCTCAGGTGGGTCAGTAAACTTATTCGGAAACGACATGAATCGTCAGTCACAAATGTTGCATGGCATCCTAATAATGTGAGTGCAATCAGCACAACCTTGTGTACTTCATGTAGCCAAATACTAATTAGTCTTTTTATAGATGCTTTCCCTACCCAAAATATTCAATAGATTCTTTCTATGGAGTACATTTTCCCTAAAATATAATATTAATCTCCACAAAATAGTTAATCTTCTAAATCATGGTTTGCTGTATGCTTTTCCTGCTGTTGTGCTCTCTGATTGTCTGTTCTGGATTAGATTCTTCTGGCAACGACATCTACAGATGGGAAATGTCGGGTATTTTCAACATTCATCAAAGGAGTTGACACAAAGTATGCTCATTACTTGAACATCTACTTTTAAAACCTTTTCGCAAACAAGGGCAGTTTCTTATTTGTTCTTCGCTGAATGGCCTGATACAGGGATCCAAAAGCAGGCTCACCAGCGGAATCTAAATTTGGGGAGGTTTGATTTGTTTGGCAGGCTTTCCTTTTTTTTAGTAAATATTATAATGCGTATGCCATATATCTGTTTCTTCTACCCCCTCATCTAATGCCAGTGAGCTTTTTCCTGATGTGTCTTTGCTGAAACAGCCAATTCTTCAGCTTGATCTCTCATATTCTTGGGCATTTGGTGTGAAATGGTCTCCAAGTGGAAACACATTAGCTTATGTAGGTCAGAATATCCTTAACACTTTAGATGTTTGTCCATTGTGCTCTACTGAAATTATACAATGGAACTTCAACTTGGTTATGCAGTTTTTACTACCTCTGTCTCACTTCCCTTGTCTCTGTAATCTTGTATAGGTCATAGCTCCATGATTTACTTTGTCGATGATGTTGGTCCTTCTCCTTTAGCCCAAAGCGTTGCATTTCGAGATTTGCCTCTTCGTGATGTGGGTCAGCATCCACCCTTCTTTTCTTTTTGAGAACCTGGTTTTCTCTTGCTTGTTATGTCCTGAATTGATATATTATCCGGAACTTCCTGTTCCAGGTCCTCTTTATTTCTGAGAAAATGGTGATAGGCGTTGGATATGATAGCAACCCGATGGTATTTGCTGCAGATGATACTGGAATATGGTGTGTAGCTCTCTGAAATATCTGGCTCAATTTTCTCTCTTGAAAACTGCTTTCCATACAATCAAATCTTTCCATCTTCTTATTCTTCTTAGATAGCGGGCAGGATAATTAGTTCTGAAAAAATCTGCACACCGATAATAATTGCTATATTTACAAGCTTGTGTTTTTTGGTCTGTAGGAGCTTTATCAGATACATCGGAGAGAAGAAAGCGGTATCTTCAGGTTCCAGTTACAGTTCGCAGGTACATACCAAATTTTTCTTTCTTGTATTTATTGCAATATGTCTGGTTTTAGCCTTAGTCTATAATATAAGTGAACTTTAGCTTATTCATGAAGTGTTCCTCAAAACATAGTGTCACTATGATAGTGATTGTTTGTGTAAGTGCAGTTGCTCCCCTCTTTTGGGATTTACTACTTTCTACTGGCATTATTTGTTCCGTTTTATCTACACGTTCATTATGTTATGTTTCCAGTTTTCAGAAGCATTTGGGAAATTCTACGGTCAATCAAAGTCTGCAACGACCAACGATGCTTCTGAATCCTCTAAATCACGTGGAGGCGTTCATGACAATTGCATAAAGTAAATTTCTCTCAGGAAAACTTTACTTTTACTTGCAAAAGAAGTGGCTTTAACTATGTTATCCCACTGTCTGTTAGAACGTAAAATCTAAATTTCCCTTAAACTTGCAGTTCCATTGTATCTCTGAGCAAATCAGGAAGTCCTAAAGTAATGCGGTTTAGCACTTCAGGTCAGTCGATTAAATTCATGTATTACTTCATGGAATCAGCCTATTCAGTTCCCAGAACAAATCCGACAGTGTCATTTTCTCACACATCGGTTTGTTACTTATAGGATTGGACGGCAAAATAGCCATATGGGATCTGGAGAACATGGAAGAAGAACTTGGCCATCAGTTTTAATAAACACAAATAAAACAAATCTGGATCTCAACAAGTAAGGTTTACTTAATTTGTATATCAGATTTTTTTCGACTAAATGCCAGCCTTTTTTAACCCTTTCCATAATTGTTTCACTTTGTAAACTACAATAAGAAAGGCGTTTGTTTTGGCCATGTCCTTCGCCTCTGGATCTTTGTAATATATTGAATGCTTTATGATTGATTCATTATAGTTGCCATCTTTTAATACCTTTTTCTGTATTAATACTACATTACATGTTCAGCGTTGTGTCGAATCAAGTCCATATCTTGCTGAAAAAAAAAACAAGTATACAAAAACATAAAATCTCTTTCAATTTCTTGAGAAATTTTGTTAGTACAAAAGAAAAAGAAAAACAGCAGTTTTTGTCGGAGGTGAATCTTCTTCTTGTCTCGGCTAAGTTTAGTGGAATCCAGAAGATAAATCTGCTGATGCGAAACAGACATAACTAACATTTGGAATGTGTCCTACTTTCATTCTCACTTATTTCGAATTTAACTACTGCCCTTGTCCTAAGCAACTTCCAGAATACCTATAAGCATTTTAAGCATAAACAACTCAAAAGCAGATACGCAGAGAAACGCAAACTCAGAACGATGCCTTTCTTTTTCCAATAGGGGTTCCTCCGCCACTTCAAGATCATATGTCTCCAAGATCATTCCTTTTCGTCCCATAAGCAATGAAGTTGACACTAATGTCATCTGACAATAACCATCGTCCTGTTATCGGGTTGTACACAAATCCAGCCATCTCTTTCACCTGCAAACCATAGTTTTTAACTTTTTATAGGTGACAATCCCATTAAGATAAATAGATGAACAACCCCTTCTTCTCACGATATTACCACTTGCCCACATCAAGAGATGCATGTTTTTATATTCATCAGTGTAAATGTTATTGAAGAGGAAGGGATTAGCTTACATCGATTGAAGCACGATGTAGTATCATCGTAAGTTCTTCAGGCGTAAGAAAACTTGACCACTGGTGTGTGCCTTTGGGAAGCTGCAGATGGCCATAATACAAACAACCAAATTTGGAATCAAACAACACATGTCGCAAAATGGTGTTAACAGAAGATAAATGAGGTGCGAAACTGAAGATTACCCAATGTAAAATGTACTCTGCTGCAACAATGGCTGATGCATATGCTCGCATAGAGCGATTAATTGTAGAAAGTATGGTGGCGCCGTTAGGGATGGTCAACGCTGACAACGACTTGCAGAATTCTGCAGGGTTTGCTACATGCTCGATGACCTTCATTATAAAAATCAAAACAATTGCCATGAGAAGGAGATTGGAAGCGAGCAGGGAAGTTTGCCAAAGGAAAGGCACCTGTTGAAGTATAGATTGACAAGAAAAAGGTACCTCTAAGGCAAGAACAGCATCAAACGTCTTCCCTTCATCCACCAGCTTTTCTGTGCAAAGAAGTATTATTTAGTACTTAAATATACGAGAGATAACAGGGAATCAACTTCTGTAGAAGATTATTTGATCATCATCTAAGAGTAGTAAGAAAAATACCTGCTGTAGTACAATGGTATTCAATCGTTGAAGTCACTGGATCCATATCCTAGAGAGACATTTTATGGACATATGATTAACTATGAATAAAAGTCAAGTTAAAGAAGGGGGTTTTCATGAACTCTAGTCCTATGTAACAATGTGGAAACGTGTTCACTGCTGTTCAAACAAATTTTAAAAGCTGCTAAGCTTGACAGTAATGAAGTGTAGCGTTCAAATAAATAGCTATTCAAGAAACTGAGGACACAGTTACTAATTTAAATTACAATACAGCCACTGTATAAGTTATCTGTATAATCAATGATACAATAAGTAAGAGACCTTACAGCGTGAAGACGAGCAATCTTGACATTCTTATCAACAGCATCAATTCCAGTGACAGTTGCTCCCATCCGTGCTAGAGGCTTCAAAGACAAAAACAACAAGTGACTGGCGATTACATCTTTATATCTAACAACAATGTCATTCCAAGTGCAACTTCAAACACTAACCCAACAAGCTCAAAAGGAGACATTTTCAAACGAAATATTATCACCAATGTTATTTGCATGCTCAGAACCTACACTGGTCTCGTAGAAGGAAGAACGGAAAAATCATATGCCAACTAAGGTATGCAGGAACTTATGAAATAAAAGTACCTCAGATAGTAGTCCCCCACCGCAACCTACATCGATAAGTCTCAGTCCTTCAAAAGGCCTAGCAGAATTTGGATCCTTACT